AAGGCAAAACAAGATGAACTGTTGGCTGACAATCAGACAGGGGCTCATTTTCTCTAACAGGTAACAGGTTGAATAACTGTGTACTTTGGGAGAAATAGGAAACAAGTTCTTCAAACATAAAGTAAACATGTCAGTTGAAGAGAAATTCATCACTGTAATACAATTATTATCTAGATCTACTAGCTTTATTCTATTAATTATTATTTATTCTATTACTAACTTTCATTTCTGAGGATTTTTGTATGATAAGTCAAGAAGAATAAGAAATCTAAAAGCGAAAGATTCTTCCTGTAATACTGCGAGTTATTAATAAGATATACTTGTTTTATTTTTGCTTCAGTTTTTGCTAACCATGCTCTTCTCAAAGAATCTATAAAAAAGTTATTCTATATTCATGCTTGAAATATTTTCTTTAATTCACATCTAATATTACAAAAATTATTAGTATCTGAATAAAGAATACTTAATGCTGAAATGACTATATCACTTATTACATTTTTTTCTTTCTAAAATTGTACATCTATTATTCCATCCATAATCTCAGTAATTAGTGTGCAACTGACTACATTACTCAAAAGAATATTGTATATTCTCAAATTTGTTCTTACCATGTTTCCCATGTCTACCTGTGACATTCATGTTAAGGTAGCTTTCGACCACCTCTTTTAATGAATGTGATTTTGGGTCAAGCACAAAATCAGTATTATTAAGGGCAGATGGTAAAGAAGGCAAGGATTGTTGGGATGCATGACACCCTTCTTCAATATAGCTAGAACTGTTGTCTTCCTCAACTAACTGAGGTGAGGAAATGGGAGGTGTCATTGTTGGTGGAGGAGTAACAGAAACTGAACTCTCTGAAGAAGCACCTGATGGTGCAGGTGGTGAGTTACTTGGGGACACTAATCTTGGTGCAGGCAATGTGTCATAATTGGATCTCAGTGGCCGAGGGGGTGGAGGATTGTTGTATGTTGCAGTATGTGTTTTCTTTATGCCAGTCTTCTTCATGCGTTGTGGCGATGACACTCCTCTTGATTTTGAACATATCTGGGTCAAAAAAAAGTAGCACTGGAGAAAACATACCATATATCTCTAAATAGTTACAAATATGCATTTCAAATCATTTGCTCTATTCTTACAAATATTCTTGCTAAACAATAAGGCTGGGAGTATCTTAAAAATTACATCACTATTTTCCAAACAGAAAAACAGACAGAATCTTTCCCATTAAATTAGTAAATGGTCTATAATTAATATCACTTATACATACACAAAGCCTAAACACTATCCATAATGTTATCATCATTCCAATTGGATCTTACTTCCCCTTTTCGAAATCTACTTATATCATCTCTAGTCAACAAAATTAACACATTAATAGTGACAGAGAGGTACATGCTATTATGTGAACAGTTCACTTACCATCTCTGTTTCTAATGCCTGTGCTAGTGTCAGATAGCCACTCTTAAAGGCAAGTAAGGACGGAGTATCACCATCACAATTTGGAATACTGAGGGCACACCTGCCACCAGGAGCCTCTAGTAAGGCCCACGTAAACGTTTTCAGGCCATAATAAGCACTGAAGTGTATCCAAGTGGGAAATACCGAAGAACCTGTCATGAATTTTACACTTGTTAACATTTCATTTTCATATCCTGTCAATAATTTGACTAATTACAACAAAAAAGCATGTTCCCATCCATTACAGTGTACTAATAAAAATTAGCACACTATGCAAAATCCAATCAAAACTTCAAAGTATCGAAAACTTTTTTTTTGTCAAAATATTTCTTCACCTACAAAATAGATTACTTTAAAATATCTTTCTCAAGATTCACACAAAATATCTGAACCACTTTACAATCACATTCAAATCTATTTATCAATTTAAATGAAAAAAAGTTAAAACATCAAATAGCTAATCTTTTTGGAAATGTAAAAAGAAATACAAATGTTTACATATGACAGGACAACATTTCCTAGACAGTAGCAATCCAACAACAAACCACAATCTGAAATATTCACAAATCTCAATCCATACCTTTCTCATTGTCATCATCTGCACATCTGCTGGGAGGGATACGCATACTGAAGTTCTTGGCCAAGCACAGGTCCAGGTCATTGTTCAAGGGATTCAGGTTTAGGGCCTGGTGGGGAAGATTTACTATAAAGAGGATCATGTGTAAAGAAACAATGATATTTTCCAAAAGTGTTATATAACATCAATACAGGTTTTTCCATTTTATAAAGAGGGGAAACTGTACATGAAATCATAAAATAATTTACATAATGCTTTTCTGCAATCTTTATTCCTGAAGACCTGATCATTCTTTGTGTTCCTTTGAAACTGCCCATTACTCTAACCCAGGAGTTTTAGCAAAAAATAAAACTTTAAATTCTTCACACAAATTACAATGCTAACTAACATTCAATGTACTTGCCTGACACATGAGATCAATTGGGTTTTTAGAATTTGAAAGAATCTGCGACAACGTATCCATGTTTCGTTCACACTTCACTTGCCTTGATCCTTGACTCTTTCCATTCACTGAAACTTCTATATACAGGAGGGCAGAGGTTTCCAAGTATGACTCTGTAGAAATAAGAATAAAACATCCAAAAGAATTAGACCTGGCCAACAACTGAAGATTTTCAATTAATCATATTACAAACAGCCATCATACACTATGTTTTATGTTTTAGATACAAATATATTTAAATTCATCATTTCTTCTCTCACTGTAAAACATACAACAGACTTATCAACCTGGCATTTGGAAGCTGAGGGTATAGGGGTTCTGCAAGCGCCATTTTTTGATGATGACTGGTTCTTTGTTTGCACTGTTCACCGATATTACAACTTCCTCCTTCACTTCATCAGTCATAATTATATATACCTGTGAATGCGTCTGAATAAAAAGATATATTTTAATTACATCAGGCTACTGTGACAAACTTCTCAATTCTACACTCTTCCAATATAAAATGCTTGCAAAATTAAATTAATACTATCCCTTTATCATCTTTTTCATAAGAGCAAAATGCAAAAATGGACAAGTATGCATGTATATCACTGTAATCATATTGCCAAGTCTATCAAAATCCTACATCAACCAACTACCTATCCATCATTTCTTAATAAGATATAAATTGCAATGCATTAAGATTCACAATCATAATAAAAAAAATCTGCAAGTACCAGATACTTCCATGAAAATCTGTAACTGTCTAATGTTAAACATCAATCTTATTTCATTAAATATATTTAGCTAATTTACCAAAATCCATAAAATGGCAAATGAAGCCACTTTCAAAATTCCAGTGTCTTGTAACAAGTACTGCAATTCCAAAGTAATTCATCTCATACTCATCTTCTACAACAAAAATACAAAAAAGGGTAACAATTAATGTAATGCTGATTGCAACAAAAATCTGGTCATCAGATTTGTCATGCAAATATCTTGTAGATTACACTGAGTGCCTGAGTGCTCCTCTATCTTTCATTCTCCTCTCTTTCATATTTGATTCTGATAAAGACATTGAAAAAAAATAATTCAATGAAAAATATACCATTATCCTATTTAAAAAGAAAAAAAAAAAAAAGTAATGTTTTGAGAACAGTTATAACATCAAACAAAAATAATGTTTTTACCAAAGTAATTTTCCGAGGTATGACTTTAAAGCGGGCTAAGCTTTCATCTCGATAACCTGAGTAGACTTCACTGTTGATGAGAATGCTGGTAGCTTTATGAATAACTTCTTGTACAAATGACATGTCCTCACTCCGTACAGTGAGATGTTGCCATTCTTTATAAGAGTAAAGCACTGAAAATGAAAATGAATAAGGTTAAACTATTATTACTTTCTGCTGTTATTTTCATCACTATGGCAAGAACCATAATGTTGTGCCATAGTAAACTTATTATGCTCAATTCTCTCAGTTTTTTTCTATTTTCTATTTTTTTCCATGTGTATCTGCCTGCCTGCCTGCCTGTCTCTCCCTGCTCTGTTTGTCTCTACTTGCCTGCCTGCCTGCCTGCTTGCTTAAATGCCTAAATGCCTAAATGCCTAAATGCCTAAATGCCTGTCTCTATTTCGCCTGCCTGCCTGTCTCTCCCTGCTCTGTTTGTCTCTACTTGCCTGCCTGCCTGCCTAAATGCCTGCCTAAATGCATGTCTCTGTTTGTCTGTCCATCTGTCTGTTAGACTACCCATCTGTCCATCTGTCCACCTGTCCGTCTGAATGTCTATAGCTATAACAACTCCAACTCATTCCATTTGTCTGTTTGTTTTACTGTATGTATGTATGTTGTCAGTGTCTATCTGTCTGTCTGTCTCTATCTATCTATCTTTCTATATTTCTATCTAGCTATCTATCTGTTTGTCAACCTATTTATCTGTCTATCTATCTCAGTATCTACCTATACTGTGTATATATAAAAAAAACACCTGCATGAAAGAGTCCTTTTATTCTTACTTTTACATCTCAGATAACTTTTTGTAATCTGAATTTTAAAATTATTCAAATCACATTTTTTAAAAACTTATCCTATATACCCTAACAATTCTCAATAAAGCTTGAAAAAATACCAAAAATGCACTAAATTCACTATTATCAACTACACCTTCAATAGCAAAAAAAGGTAATCTATCATGGGAGAAAGGATTTTTCTTATCCTACATCCCACAAAAACTAAAAATATATATACAATTTTTGATACACATAAAAAAAATGAAATTCTTTGATGCAATATTCACAGCAATGTTATGATAATTTTCCTCCCAATAAATAAAATTCTTTCTCCTTTGTTGGGCTAAAACCCCACTAAATATATCAAGAAAAGTACTTGTTGGGGTTTTAAGTAAAAAATTCATGTGAGTAATGCCACATTTTGCAATTAAGGCTAATTCTTAAGCCAGGAGGGGCCTTGAGTATACTTCTTTACATATTACCAAAAAATTACATGCAATCAAATACATATATTGGGCATCTTTTTAGGGCAA